TAATGCGAGTAGGGTAGGGTAGGATAGGAATACGGAAATTAATGACTATTCTGCATTCCTATCAGATTTAATAAAAAGACAAAAAATTCTTCTGCATTTCTACACAATTTTTTCAGCTAGCCATTCCACAGGGTGGAGTCGGATAAGAAATTGCGGCTAATCGAAAATTTGAACACTTCTACTCGCCACCTTAGGATAACAAATTTATAACCATGTTACAAAAGTGTTTTAAAACCTGATCCGCCCGGTAGATTAGCCCATAAATTTGGTGAACGGGACAAAGGACGAAACTAAAATTATGTTTTAAAGAAGGTCAAATAACGTCAAAGTTGATAATTTTATTCAACACGATTATTCAAGTTATCGTTAATGATAATCTTTTATTTATTTAAAACCGTCCAAAATGAACTCATACAAGACCATTGTTGAGATTAATTTGGGTCATGAAATCTAATTCTTTTTTTTGTTGATAAAAGACATCATGAAATCTAAAAATTAGTTTCAATCATTGTAAAAATTAAATTGCGATAATGTTATGATCTTCTTGTACTTTTATTATGGCGTGATATATGCCCTAAGAATAATTATCTTGTGAATAATAGTTTTACATGATATCATAGTAAAGGGGTTGGCTCCCTTTATGACATGGGCACCTACATTAAATGATTTCACGTGAGGGTGTCACCTGAGAAAAGCATCAATGAGACTCAGTCAACAAGACCGAAGTCGAGCTAATTGATAAACTTAGTAAGGAAGAGTAGAGGTCGGTCCATATGATGACCAAGCTGTTTCAAACAGTGAACGTGGTGCTAAAGAGACGCTTATAACTCAGGCATTCTAGTTAAGCAAACGAGCATAATTATAGAGGCTCGGCAGGAGGAATTGCTGGAGAAATCTCAGTAACTTCCCAAACAGATTCGCCTAGTTGAATGAAGGTGTACCATCTTGAATCGAAAAGCGTGGAAATCCTAATTAAATAGGGATCTATAAAAGGCATAAGGAGTCAATGTAAAAGGTATGATGAATTCTTCTTGTCTTCTTGCAATTGACTCAGTTCTGTTATTGACTTAAGCATCGGAGTGCTTTCGATTGAAACACTTCGATCTTGGGCAGAATATCAAGTTCAGAGCTCACTTTTATCAGAAATATCAACCCTTTATTCCTGTAGGAGGTAATCTCATTTTTTTTACCTCTTACATTTTTTGACGCCGTTTGTGGGAAGATTTTCATCAATCGAAACAAAAAACCAATGTCAAGACTAAGAAGTGTCATTGGCTCACCTATAGGCAGTCAGGCCTTGGAAAATTCTGATCCAAACTATAGAGTATCGCTTCCATCCGATAGTGACATCAAAGTGGATATAAACAAAAGCCCAGCTAAATCCCGTGAGGATGACAAGTTGTCCTCAACAAGTTTCAAGCCGTTCAAATGCCACAATAAGCAAGACACCAATAGTGGTGAATCCCTCCGTGTCGAGGGAGAAATTCATTCTCTTGCAAAGTTGGTTCAGTCTTTGTAGGACCGACTTGACGCGCATGATAAATTGTTCAAAAAGTCTTATGCCAGGGAAAAGGACCTGAAGAAAGAAAACGAGGAATTGAAAGCTAGGTTGAAGGAAATGACGAAGAGAGAGAGATGTAACAAGGAAATCCCACGGGAGAGTCCCGAGAAGAAATGAGAAAGAAGGAAAAATGCCGAGGAAGGTGAGGACAACCAGAAAAGGCGTCGGGGACATGGTTGGGATTCCTAGAAACAATTCATTACCAAAGAGCTCAAAAACCGACTGAAGAGACCAGAGCAAAAATCAGCTAGGGACCTAGTCCGAAGAGCCATGGGAGAATACAAAAATGGTTCGGAGTCCTCCCCCTTTACCAATGGATT